TGTTTCCAAAATTACTGTTTCGTGAATTTTTAAAGGGACTTGAAATAATGTAGTATTGCCAATGTAGTGTAAGATGGTGAATTATCATGGTTTCAGAAACCAATAATTATTTATCTTTATTTTCTTGTCATTTATAGAAATTATGCATTAACACGAATTCATAAGATCGTGTCAAGAAATTAACAATATCTTGATTTTTGAACCACTTTGGTGTGATTGCATCGATCTTGGCTTGACATTATTTTTAAATGACTGTATTATCACTTCAAATTGTTATCACTTCAAGTTGTGCCTTATGGAACTATTTATTTTTTGTTTGCTTTTATCAAAAATAATATTATGCGATTAGTTAGCAGTTATTGTTAAGTTAGGTTTGGTGTGCCATTGTACACCAAAGATTGCTTAACAACAAACAATAGCCTGTGCTATTTTTATTGTTAAGTCTGTGGTTACGTTTCTGTTGCAACAGATCTTAGTTGTTTTATTTTCCAACACAGGCTGCGGCTGTTAAATAAAATCTGGAATATTATCTAAACCCAAAACGTCGCGATGGATCTCAGCTGGGTACTATTTTGTCAACAATACTGTGACGTATATATATATATGTATAAATATATGTATAAATTATATTGAAATATATATTTTTGTCCTATATTTATATATATGTGTTATATTATTTTATTTTTTTTTTATATATATAATAGTTATTACAGTTTTTATTATTTAAATTGAACAAATAATAAACGTGTTTTTATTTACATATTTTTTATATTATTTAAAGTAATACGGGAAATAATAACGACCTAAAATTGGACTTAAAAACAAACACTTATTTACAATTAGGGGCGATACTAATATTTGCAAAAATATTTTAACTTTACTGTATTTACTTTGAATTACGCAGAAGCAATGGTAGTATTATTTATGAAATTTATGCAAAAATAAGTACACAAAATTACTTTTTAAATGTAACTTCCTTACATTGTAATTTGCAATGAAAGACGAAAGCTACTTATAAAGAGTATACTACTACCTAATCCTAAAATTAATGCAATGTGACACTACTCATGGAGAATCAAAATAAATCCAATGGAATTATGCAGACTTTAATGTAAGAAACATTTGAAAGCATAAGATGTGAAATAAAAGCAGGATTGTTATTAAATATGTTTGTATAACCTATTTAATTTGTTAAGTAGAAGATTATTACCATTTAAGATTGTTGACTGCTATTACGGCTTTTAAATTTCTGTTATTTGCTGAAATGTAAAAAAATGAAAACAAAAAACAAGTTATTAAGAAATGTATCCATTAACAACTTAAGCAGAGGTAGATGATACTGATTTTATTCTAGTGAAGTGGGAATAATTTTGCTTAGATGATTTTGCTCAACGAAATCTAATAATTTCTTGAAGTTGTGCTCTTTACCAAAATATGCGTGCCTCAAATTAATTGAGTTACGAGTCACTTGAGTGATATGGCAAAGAAAATCAAATTACTGATCAAGAGCCAATGTCAAAGTACATTGGATTTCATAATGCCCAGACTCGAACGGCTGGGAGGGAAATAAATTAAATTACAGTTACCCTGACTCAATAGTCATGGTTTTAGTGAAAGAGAATGAAAGCGGATATTTTATTGGGTTTTATGCCTCACATTTCAGCATAAAAAATAAATGTTTGCTAAGGGCATTGAATTTCTTTTTGTTTAAAAAATAAGCCTAAAAATAAATTTATACATTTTTGAATAGCCAAGAGATGTGCTTCTCCCATTCTTGCCAAATTTATGGCCAAAAATCGACGCAAGTTCATGAAAAGATTTGTTTGGCACTTACAACACTCGTATTCGTTGCTAGTAGTTATTTGCCTTTTAAACATTTTACTACTCTCATTGGTTTTGTTATTTATTCTCAAGTACCCACATGCTCGTGTTCTAGGATTCCTTGAATAAGTTAGGGGCGATTTAGTACAAAATAGCATTCGTGAAAAATAACTAAATTTCCATACTAAAAATGAAGCAGGGAATGGAATACAAAACCTTGTTTTTCGTGGTAAAAATTTGTTAAAATCTTTAATATTTTATGAAGCCATAAAAAACGTAAATAAATTTAAAGTTGAATTTAAAAGTGAAGGTGCAAAAATGTGTAGATTGTGTGAAAGTCTGAGGTGCTGTTGTGTATCTAAATGCAATGCAAATGCAGTGTTGGCAACGTTGAATGCCTCTTAAATATTTAAATATCTTTGAGAGTTGCTAAGAACTTATTTGTGTTTCAATGCAAATTGTTTAGAATTCATTTTTTTTTATTTTCACAAAAATATAGCACAGATGTGCTCTATTACATCATCATGCTCTATAGTTTGAATTGAAATTTTCGAAGTTTCTAGAATTTAATAATTTCTTTTGATTAAAGTAAATTTGATTATGATTTTTGTTATAAGATTTCCATTAAAACTTTTGAGCAAAAGAAATTAGATTTGAACTTTAACAGTTTGTCAGTAACTAAAATAAGTAAATTCACTTGAAATTTAGCTATATTCATAAGAAAAAAACTATTCAACTACATCTTTCTTAATTTATTAAAGTAGAATTTTTCTTTAATAACACAAAAAACGTTTCAGATGTAGATAAACTTTTTATTTCTGAATTTTTTACTGCATTTCCCACAGTAAAAGCATTAACGGCATTTCCACAAATTGTATCATCTCTTTACGAAAATTCAACGACAGATACTTTGTTTTGTTTTGGTTACTTGAGATGAATTGGAATCTCTAAGTAACATCTAAAATTTATTGGGTTTCCAATTTTATTTACGCTTCGTGATTTTCCTTGTGGTTTTACTTAAAGTGAAAAAATAAATGTAAATGTGAAAACGATATCAAACTTCTTTCCAAGTATTTTGAACGTGAATATGGTTGTACTTGAAGTAAAGCATAGATCCCATAGGTGTTTCTTTTAAAACTAAATATGCAAGTTACATTAAATGCATTGAAAGTGATACCATTATGTTGTTTGAATATATTTTGATACAAAATAAAAGAGTTTTGCATGAGAATAAACAGGGATATGCTCAAAAGTGATAGTAGAAATGTGTATAAAATTTTGCTTTTATTTTTGTTTATAAGAAAATAAAATTCATGTTTATGAACTAATATTTTCTAAGGCTTTATAATACTTAGAGAAATAAATGTACGTATAAACATTTGTACGTATAAAACAATAAAATTAATGATAAATATTCGCATTATCATTATTAGGCCAGAAATATATATAGCCGCCCTCATATATAGGAAATCATACAAAGATGTACAAAGAAGAAGTACGGATTCTTTTTACTATTTGCTGTTAATGTCATACATTTTTTCTATGATTGTTCAGGTTTAGCTTACAGAAAAACAACGCTTATAGAAAAGTGCTTATTCAGTAAGATGAGGAGGAACAAAGAAAATTATTTAGAAAATTATTTATTCAGAAAGACGAGCAGAAACAAAGAACAGAAAGAATAGGTTAATAGAAAAATATTTATTCAGAAAAAAAGAAGTATATTGGGACAATTTACCAAAGCTATCACAATCTCAATCTCTTATAAGGACTTTCATTCCAAAAGGATGAATTGTTTGCAATTCAATAAAAACAACTTAAGAATCTTTATAAGAATTTTGATAGGGTGTTTTATTTTGAATTATTATCTTACAAACTGGTAACTATATCTCATAAAACTTACCTGTTTTATAAAGAAACAAATGATATCGCAAAACATTGATTTTGCTCGGCATTCATGCATAAATGAGATAAAAATATAAGTGGGCATCCTATATCGGATAAAGAAATAAGTCTCGTTAAAGTAGGTTGAATCCTATAATATATAGAGGAAATGGAATTTGGATAAATATTTCATACATGAAGTGGGTAAATACATCTCAAAATCGCAGTGCAAAATCATTTTACTCTATCATAATAGCGAAGTACTTTTTCAACTCTTTCTTTGAACTATTTATTGAATGGTAAGGATAAGATTACATAAACTTCATAGCATGTGTCGAATTTCTTGCTAAGAATAATCACTAATTATAAGAAGAGAAAGAGATCAACTGAGTGGTCATATACATAACCAAACAATTAATTAATATTTTCTAGTAGCAAAAAAGGGTAACAAATAAACTGACTTTTCATATCAAAAAATTTCTGATCATAAAATAAATGTTTATTAAGATAAAGCCAGTCTAAAATATAAATCTTTTGAAATTTCTGCGAACAGTATATGACCAGCGGCATATCCAGGAAAGTATAAGGGGATAGATCCTTCTTTAAAAATATAATCTACATATAAATTTGTTAAAATATTTTTCTCATATATCCCCCCTTGGCCATAATCGCGGCTATGCTACTTTAGACTAATTAAAAATTTGTCTAAAATGCAAATTCATGAAACTTCATGGGTTTGTATCCTTGGATAAAATTTATGAAATATTAAGTTCTCATTTATAAAATATTTCAGTTCTCAAAACTGTGTAGGTTTATTTTTCTTTAGAAAATAATTTAAAAATTCAGTAATTTTTAAAGTTTTTTCAAGATTTTATTCTCTGAGATGTGTTCATCAAAATAAATAAGCCAAATCCATGGTTGCGAGGCAAATTTTTCTCCTAAATCCGTCTGTTTTGTGTAAGAAAAATTAATCTTATATTCACTCAACTCAGTTATGCTTTAAATTAATTAAAAAAAATATAATTTTATGTTTATTTATAGTATTTATTGTCGCTATTATGAACTTGATTCATTTATTTAATTAAATATAAAATCCAAAGAATTAATATTTTTATTTACTAATATTTATACTATATAAAAAAATATTTACTTAAAAAAAATTAAATAATTGCATAAAATATAAAATATTCTTAAATGCTTTTTAACATTTTTAAAAAATAAAAATTGAATTCAATTCAGAAACGTAATGTGGAAATAAAATAAATGCTGTAAATAAACTAAATAAATATGCAAGCTTATTTTTTTTTTAAATTACTGAGGCTGCATCAAATCCAAACGTTTTATGCCAGGAAATCCTTATGACCGTTTCATGTCCGTTTTGCTAGTAATTTGTGTAAGCCCAGCTTTACTTCTTTGGAGCATATAAAATCTCATAGAATGATGGTGCCAAATGTTCAGCCATAAAGACTTGAATTTTGTCAGATGCGGTTACAGGTGTGTAACGAGCCATGGGGAAAGTGCGAGTAACAGCGTCGATGAGTACACGTAAAGTGGGTTGTATATCGGCGACCTATATTTATGACAGTAAAGAAAAATTAACATTCTGTTTTCTATTGAATTTCATAAAATCTTACTTCTTTGGAGTATTTATCGACAGAGGACATGGCAGCTTCATAATAATCTTCACCGTATGTTTTCTTTTGTTCGGCAGTAAGTTGTGACCACATTTCCTTAGCCTAAAAAAGAAGTGTGTATTAAATAATATTTTTATTTCAAATATTTATTTGAATTTATTTTATTTATATAAATTTTTTTTGTGATTTAAAAAATAATGTGCTTTGAGTTTTATGATAACAAATAAAATTTTAATTGAAAACCATTAAGTTAAGTATATCACATAAGCATGTGTTACTAATTAACTTGTGACTCAACTAATCCTCTCATTAAACGAGTCCTGCTAATTCAAACTCATTATCTTTTACTGCTGGCAACATAGCACAAATGCCAACCTAATAAGCCCACACGTTTATATATTATTTGTGTTGGCAGTTCTACGTGTTGCAGCTATGATTATCGGACTCATATCCTGTGGAAACTACTAACAATTTAGTTTCCAATTCAAGGGTATTAACTTCACAGAAACGAAAGTTAATTTTAAAGTTTATGCATCTGCATCAGCTATGATTTTAACTATGCACCATTAAAAATGTTCTTTACCAGACGTTCTGGTATTAAAATGCCATAAATTATTTCATGTTTGGCACATTAAGTGAACCAACGCATTTCTACTGAGTCGACTCACCTGTTCACGTAGGTCGGTTTCATTAAGCCAACTGTTGCCTGGAGCGAACTCGCCGGCAGCTACAACCGCAACATCGACACCACGTAAACGCATTTCTTGGCGCAAGCAGGCAGCCATACTCTCAACAGCTGCTTGGGTAGCACATTGAATTCCACGCACTGGGGAAGGTACCTTATTGAGACCTATAAACATTAAGTACATATATGGTAAGATATAAAGTTTCATTTGGTATTATTTTTGAATTTACCAGAAGTAAGGAATACTACACGTCCATTTGCGCGACGTATCAATGGCAACATAATTTGAGTCAAACGCATAGAACCTATAAAAAGAATATAAAATTGATATAAATTAAAATTATTATTTTAATGCCATCTCTTACCCAATAGATTCAAGTCCAACGATTTACGTAGCACAGCAAATGGAATCCATTCAAGCTCACCCAAGGCAATCCAGTGTGCGCAATGGATTACAGCCCACAAACCATCGGCACCATGTGGCAAGTGCTCTGATACAAATAAAGCAGCTTCCAAAAGCTTTAAAGAAAGTGTAAAAAGTTTTTGTCAGAAGTTTATATAAAGAAAGCTTGATAAGCTTTCTGCTTCTTGTGTTGACTTTATTATTTTACTTACAGTTTTTTCCGAGGTTACATCCAAATATAAAAGCTTCATGCGACCGGAAGTCTCTTCTTTAAGTATTTTTGCTTCATCCGATTCCTCAATTGGCACATTAAATCCAGCGTATACAGTAAAGCCAAGGTCGTCAAGTTTTTTTGCTAAATACCAAGCAATTGGAGCTTCACAACCAGTAATGAGCACACCTTTGCCGGAAGCGGAAACCTAAAATAAAATCAAAAGGAATCAATTATGACAGTGAATTAGAAGTGGTATCAATTTGCATGTAAGATGAAGGCTGCACTATGTATCCAGTTATGAAAGCGTGTAGAATATTAACACGCAAATGAAAGAAATAGAACAATTTTATATAAGAAGAAAATAATATCTCTAGAACTTATTATTAAAAACACTAAAAAGTTTTTAATTTATATAATGGCGATATTATATATATATGTTAAATAAGAGTAAATTAAAAAAGAATGCAGAAAACTATTTAATTTAGATCTACTTCAAAAACTAATTAAGGTTTGGTACAAATATTTTTGTGAAATGGTTAAAGAGTCTTGATTTTTCAAATTGGCATCAATTATATAGATGTAGTAAATAGATTTATGGATACTTATAGGCTTAAGACAAAATAAAAGACTAGTATCTGTAGGTATTCGGTGAGGTCACATTAGATTAGGTTAGACAGTACCGGCGCTTCTAGGAATCCACTTAAGTTTATTAGCCCATTAAAAGCACTCAAAGGTTTGGATGTCAATTTAAATCATAGACAAAGCCTTTAGAGTGAGGTATTGAAGCAGGGCAAGATTCCCAAAAATTAAGCGGCCGTTTAATAATTAGTCGATGTTACGTATACCTTATAGACTGTAGTAAAGCGTATATAAGGTACTTCTATCCTCCTTCCAAGAACTGCAAACTCATTTTGCAAATTCAACACTTGCGTACTCATAAAATCTAACAAGGTAATAATTTTCTCATCACCAGCAGCGATCTTTCGATCACCAAAAGAACTGGGCTTTCTCATCATTATAAGGTTGTAATATTCGAAGAATAGTAATAATTCTCTATTTGTACCTTATAAAATGTATTAAATTTTACTTAGATTTCCGTTTCTTATTTCTATTTCATTTCTACTTGGGTTTAATACTTGTGATATATATCTAAATATATAAATAAATATTGTAATAAGAGGGGAGAGAGGTGGGACGCTGTTTTAAGCTGTGTCTTTAAGAAACAAATTTAAAAAATTAGCTGAAAAATTTAGCTTAGGTTGAGTGATTTGTAACGTATTTAACTATTCGTACAGAACATTGAAACTATAGCAATACCGCGATCAATTCTTTTGTTATTTTTAATATAAGTTTTTAATATATATTAACAATTTAATACAGTCTTTATACCAAAAGTTTTTTCTTAATTTTTTTAAAATATTAGCAATTATCCACGAAAGATGTTGCACTTGACTTTTCCCTAATATTTTTGTAACCTATTGTGGCTAGAAAGCTCAGACTGATTGTAAAAATGCAATTGCCTGCAGACAAGCCAAAGAATCCATGCCGTATCGATCAAAAGCCAGAACTAGAGAGCTACGTATGCTAAACAGAAGTGGCATCCGACTTGTCACAGGGTTTCTCACTGGGCATTGCGGAGTTAAAAAGCATCTATTGAATTTAGATATTATTAGAGACGATAGCTGCAGACTTTGTTGCGAAGAAGAGGAAACAGCAGAACTAATTCTGCGTCACTGTGATAGTCTTGCCAGACTCAGACTTCGATACTTATCCACTGCCTATCCAAATATAGCGGAGTTAGGCAACATCTCTCCAAAGGACATGTTATAAACTACTACTCGTCTATGGAACTTAAGTGGGTAAGTCACAATAATCCTCAAAGGATGCACTGACGTGATGATAAGTTCCCAACCCATCTTAAAATCTAATCTAATCTAACCTATAGGCTGTCACCTACACTCCATAAAATAAATTATGTTCCACATGTGAGTGAGGCGATAGGTGTTAAATCTATCAATAATTTTACTAAATTTGAATGAAATTTATGGTTAATATTTTATTAGGTGTTCACCTTGCTTGAGTTGCTCTCGAATATTTCTGGAGTTTTTTCACACATTTTTTAATTTCCATTATAAGTCACAGCAAGAGTTTAATTACTTTTTAACGAATGAAAGCTAAGAAATAAATGAAATAACCTTTGACGCTGTAGTCAATAAATGTGAAACTTAGCAATATATAAATCACATAAAAAATATAAAAAAATAGAAAATTCTGAGAAATTTTATTCGTCCTGCGAAGCACGTAGCAATGTGCAATTGGGCTGCACATTCGTTTATTTGCGTAGCACACCTCCAACAGGCCCAGGAGATTTCAAAATCTAAGGAAAATAAAAATTGACTGCCAGAAATTAATTGCCAGAAGTAAAAAGGTAAACATCAAATAAATTGCCAGTAAAAGTTTTACAAAAAGAAAATAAATAAAAAAAATTAAGTAAAAATTAAACAAAACTAAAAGAAAACTCCAACGATTCCACAAACAAAAAAAAACATTAACTGATTTGGCAGAATAATTTAATTACTTCAAAAAGTTTATTAAATAATTAAAAATTGTTTGATAAGCTCCTAAAAGTCAGAAGTCAGACAAAAGTATAAAAAAGAATTCTGGTTATCTATTTTCCTTAAATTGTGTTACGCATATACTCCTATGTACGGTCAACCTACCTGAATAGTACTAAATTGAATTTTCCGGCTTTTTTTCTGAGCAAGTGAAGCATAAAGAACTGTAAATGTATTTCAGTCCGAATATTCGAAAACTAAAGTTCACTTAAATGCCCAAAAGGTACTTATAAAGACTTCAGTATCTTGAAATTGGTTAGTAAAACAATCATATACAGTTGTGCAAAAAAAGATTTTCAGTTGAGTAAATGCATTCCCTTTCTCTTTGCTTATTGCAGGCTCACTGATATTTTAGATAAATATCAAATTTTTTTAGTTTTTTTATGTACCAAATTTATTTGAATAATGTTCAAATACCAATTTTTTAATTTTTTTAAAAGAATGATTGTTCTTTACTTATTAAAAGGTTAATATTGTCTGAATACTCTAAGCCTATAACTCATGTTTTAATATAGTGATATGACAATAATAATATCTAAAATGAAATTAGTTCTTACAGGTTAGTACAAAGACATCAAAACATTTGTTGCATCACTTACTGGGTCGATTTATTTAGATCCCTCCTTAAGCATATTAATATACAAATCACTTACGTATATTAGCGCATCCAGTTAATGATAGGTTATAAAATGGTCAAATCTATGCACAAAATAATAAACACTTTCTTTATTTGTTACAGCATTGGCTTGGTCTACATATTCCAAATTTATAGTATTTGACCTAATTATATAAAGAAATATAAAAAAAATATGAAAATTCGAATATGTTATCGGTTCTCTAAGGACTTTAATCTTTAAGATGCCTTTCAATCAGATAATGCCTTCTCAATCATAATTTTCTAACACCGTGCTTATCGACGCTTGTAGAAAACATCAATGTCCATTTTCTACTAATTATAAATTAATTTATGGATGCACTATTCTACAATACTCCATAAGAACCAAAATATTAAAATCAGTCAGCGTTTATCAATGTGTCTATCTGATATTGAATGGTACAAAATAATAAGAAATTTCTTTACTTTTTGAAAAGATAAAATGTTCTTAATATCACGAATCCAAAACTTCTGACTTAATCCATAGGAACAAGGTAGAGGTATTAGAAATAATATCGACTCTAACAGGACATTGAACTATATGATGATATTAAGTAATGCAACTCATTCATTAACAAAACTTCTGATCACTCTGTTCATCGGAATCTGAATAAAATACATTCTCCACATTTAACAGAATATGGGTTAAATATATGACCGACTTTTAGGTAAACCTAGTCTACTAGATTTTAAATCTCGTGCTCATAACTCTCTCTCCTGATTATAGGAATAAAGTTTTCACATTGTTGTGGAAATCTTCTCAATTGATTTCTAAGAGATGGTTTTTGTGGGTTTAAGTCTACCACTGCGACTTTTGATGCTTTCCACCTCTTGCACGATAAAACAAAAAACGAAACATATGGCCGATCTACTCATTAACATACTACAAAACTTTTTATATATAAAATTGAGCTCAATTTTTGGGTTTATCAATTTATTCAGCTGTTAATAGGTTGTTAAATACTTAAACCTTGGAACAAAGTAACCAAACAGTTTTAAAACAATAGTCTAAGTTATTCTATAGAAGTAAAATAGAAGCATCTAAAATAATATCGATTTTTACAGGATATCGACTATAGCCAGGCTGCGTTAGTTCTACAGATACACCTGAAGACAATATTGTTCAATGTTAAGAGAAAAAGCAAAGTCTGAAACATCTGTTATGTCTGTTGTATTTAAATAGTCAATATCAATTGAATAGTCAATGATCAATTGAAACCATTGATCCGTATGAGTATTGTCGCTTTAGGGAGACATCAGAACATCTATTGTGTCACTATCTATGTTTATCATGATTTATGTATAAGCATATAAAACTTTATAACAAATCATTTAAAATTATTTAAAAATCATTTAAAAATGGCCCAATGAAAATAAGGTGGAAACTGAAAACAAAAAAATTTTCTAATTAATTTAGGATTTTCTATTTCATCAATACCCTACTGAAAGCTAATTAGGAATCAAAATCAAATATTTTTCTTCAATATACCTTATGACTTAATTAATTCTAAAATCAACAACGTAGAAAGATTCAATTTCAATTTAAGGTATAGATACTTCTATTACAAATTTAATTGAAAAAAATTCTTTGAAAGCATTTAAAGCTTTAAAAATTTGCTATAGTTACGAAATTATAACATTTATTGAATTATTTTTGTTTCGAATTTTCCATAGGTGACTTCCTGGTTGCGTCTTGTGTCATACAAAACTGGCAGCAAGAATATCAATTATCAATCAATCAAAAGGCAACAATTTACCGAGTGAATGAATTTACATTAGAAGACTGTAACCGCCTTTAAGCGGAACACACCGCATGACAATGTACACTAAACACTGAACGCGGAACGCGGGAATAGTCGTATAGGAGCACAGTTTGGCAAAGGAGCAAAAGTGCACAGGAAGCAGCCATTTGAACAATTTTATTGAATTTTTCTTGTTGTCATTGGTGCACTAGACAACGTGTCAATTACATGCACGCAGCAATCCGCAGACTATGGAAAATTGACAAATGAAACATCTTCCAGATGAGGTGACACATTAAGACGCAGTGGGTTGAGTTGCCGCAATAGCAGCGTGATGTTCATTATCATTTTAACCCCTACACATGAGCTTGAAAGCACAGGAAATGAGAAATATTGCATGCGAGGAACATACATCCATGCCGCCATCGACTGTGGTACGGTTGGTTTACGGTTGACAAATATGAATGAATTGCCATTGCTGAGGTACGCAATCATGGCTGTTGTAGGGTTACATTAAGGGCGAATGGAAAAATTAGCTGCGGGCTAAGTTGAATGTTAATTTTCTGAGAAATGTCATAATGTAAATATGGTGGTATATCACATTCCTATGTTATTGCTTTTGCGGTTGTGTGTGCTAAGTCGTTATTGCACTGCCGTTCCTAGCTAACTATTTTCCAGGGAGTTGAGTTGCTTGAATTCTAAGAACTTTAGCAATTCAAAATGAATTCATCTGCTGTTAACTAGCATCTAAAGCGTAGGTAGCAATTAATTACTCTGTTGATGTATGACAAATTTTCAAGAATTATATGAGCAATTGAGGATTGGGTCAAGCGTTTAACTTTAAGCTTTTATAAATACGTATGTTAAGAATTACAAAATAATTAAGAATACTTGCTATAGTAGTTTTTCATTTGTTTTTCTTAATTGCGGTTAAGAAATTGTTATAGGTTTTTCCACAACAAATGCTACAAAAAATATATACGAGTAGCAATTTAATAAAA